AAAATAAGTTTAAATATAGGTTTTCTTAGAAGTTAAAAATATTTTAAAAATTATAAAATCATTATTACATTGCGTTTAGCTAAACAACATGATATATGCTTTAACCAAAATAACAGTCTAGGGCATTCATTCTCATAGTATAACACAAGGTGTCATTTGCCTATATTTTAACATTAGTAAATGACACTATTTGTCACTTTTGAGACTCAATGGTCTAGGGTCTAGAGTCTAGACACTTTGTAATGGTGTTTTGTTTAACAAACTTATTTCACGTATAATATTAAGTTATGAAATAAATATTTTTCAGGAATTATAGTTTATTCAATTAGTTAATATAGATATTATTAATTTTATATTTTATTTTTATTCATTAAACCTTTAATTATAATATTTTGTGTTTAATTTAAAAACACAACATGAATTCTATAATTATTGTGTTATAATGCTATAATGAATTGAAAGATTTCAAATGATATATTGAAGATTTTTTAGTTAAGCCTTTTATAAAAATATAGTCATTTGCTTAACCGTAAGCAACTTTATAAATGTAATAACTATAAAATCTTTAATACATTATTTGGATTATTTCAGTTCATTTATATAAAATTATTAAAATAAGTTTATTCAAATATAGGTTTTCTTAGAAGTTAGAAATATTTTAAAAATTATACGATCATTATTACATTGCGTTTATCTAAACATGAGTCTAGTCAAATATGAGTCTAGACATTTTGTAATGGTGTTTGTGTTTAACAAACTTATTACACGTATAATATTAAGTAATGTAATAAATATTTATCAGGAATTATAGTTTATTTACAGATATTATTAAGTTTTATATTTTATTTTTAATTATTAAACTTTTAATTATAATATTTTGTGTTTAATTTAAAAACACAACATGAATTCTATAATTATTCTGTTGTATTTAATTTTATGTTTTATAGTCTTGTATATAATTTACAAGTAAGTAAAATAATTTTAAGTTAGAGTTACATTTATAATTAACATGATTATTTAATATATAGATTTATTTACAAGAATTACAACAAGTGGACTAAATCGGGAATCAAGGGACCCAAACCGATCCCGGTGTTTGGTAATGCTATTGAATTGTTAAATAGTAGACCACAAGTATATTATAATTGGTCTAGAACATATGGAAAAATTTTTGGGTATAATAAATATTATTTTATAATTAAACTAACATAAATAATATAATATTTAACTTTAAATAATATAAATTAATGTGCATAGCTAAAATAGGGTAATATGGTATTTCGATTTATTATTAGTTTATTATCAGATTGATTAAGATTTGTTAATAAAATTAACTAGACACTATGTTGGCAAAGTGGCTGTGTTAAATGTCTGCGACCCTGAACTAGTTCAATTAATTCTGGTTAAAGACTTTCACGTATTCCCCGATGCTTCAGATGCACAACAAATTGTTCAGTATATTCGAGCATTCATGATGAATATGAATGCAAATGACCGAGATAACTGGAAATCAGTTAGATCATTATTTACCCCAACATTCACCACGGGTAAATTGCGTAAAATATATACCGTGCTAAATGAACGAGTACTTCGTTTAGTAAATAACTTGGAGGTATGCACTACTGTGTCAGATAAGCGTGTAAATGTTCGAGGTATGTTTATGACATTCGTAATGGATGTCATTAAAACTACAGCGTTTGGCATTGACACGACTGTCTATGAAAACAACCATGGCGATACATTTGCCATAGTGACCAGAAAATTAACACACCGAAATTATATATGGGAATTATGCCTATTAGCGTTACCAAAGTTTGTTAACAAATTACATGGCTCATCAAATGGCAAGTACATTGAATACTATATTAATTTAATCGTGAGGATTATCGAGAATAGACGGAAATACCCTGATACAGAGTTTGTGGATTTCATACAATGGTATTTAAATAGTGAAAAACTTGTTGGTAATAAATGTGAGTTACATCATAATTTTGATTATAAACTATAAAAACCTATTTATAATTATTTACATAGACAACAATAAAAATTCAACCGACAACAAAATAATAACCTTGGCAATATTCAATTTGGTGGCAGCGATTGATACAATACCTACAGTACTTGGATTCTGCGCCTATGAGTTGGCGTATAACCAGGGTATTCAACATAAGCTCTACACTGAAATCATGGCATCAGTTGAATCATATGATGAAATAGATTATGAGCACCTTGAGCAATTAACTTATTTACATGCAGTCGTATCGGAGACCCTGCGCCTACATACCCCTGGATTTGTTGTAAAACGTAAGGCTACCAGAGATTACACTTTAGGTGACACTGGTATCAAAATTCAACAAGGTCAGCAAGTGAACGTGGTAACTTGTGCCATTCACTATTCCAATGATTATTATGAAAATCCGTTTGAGTTTAACCCTGATAGATTTTTGCCAGAGAATAAGCACAAAATTAAACCGTATACCTATTTTCCATTTGGTACTGGGCCACTAATGTGCTATGGGCAGAGATATGGCCTGTTATTGACGAAATTGACCCTGTTCAATATATTGAAAATGTATCGCTTGGTTAGAGTACAGCAAAAAGCAAACGGTTTAATTAGTGATGAAAAGCCGTTACGTTTAGTGAATCCGTCCGAGATTTTTGTCGGATTTGAGAAGAGAATTTTAAAAATTTAAAACTTATTTTACTATTGTTATAACTGTTATATAACTATAAAGTCATTATTAAAGGTTACCTAAAACTTGGTATTTTATGTGAGATTTTTAATATAAATTTGTATACAATAGATCTTAGCAAAAAATATTAAAATTTTGATAATCCATAATTTTAGTTTTACATTCTAATCACAGATATTTTAAATATGAAATATGTCAGTTCTATACAATAATTTTTGTTTATTAATAAAACACTAAATTCAAAAATTGATAATTAGCAAAAATCATTTGAAAATTATTAAATTATTAAATCATTTACAAATTTATACCATTTAATCTTTAAAAATATTTTTATTTTTAAATTATGTTTAAAAATATCTATTTGTAGTTTAATTTTGCAAATTGATTATTTAATAATGTTTCAGAATTCAACATTTTTAAATATGCTTAAACATAACCAAGTGATGCCCCGCCATCTACAACATGAATAGTGCCTGTTATAAAATTAGCATTTGAACTTGCTAAATATAGCGCACATTGAGCAACATCAATTGGTTCGCCATAATGTCCAACGGGGTATCTTGCTGCACGATTTGCATCAGCTTCCCAAAACAATTTAGCTTGCTCATCGGAGTAACCGCTTGTTTTAAATATGTTTGTCTGCACTATACCCGGACTAATGATTTGAAAATGACAATAAATTTTAAAAATATATCTGATATAAAATACTATTTCTCTATCACCTTATCGCATTAATCCGGATACCTTTGGTACCCAACTCTGTTGCCATACATTTGGTAAACATGTTCAGGGCACATTTTGTCATGCAATATGATGATATATTTTTGGCCTTTAAATATAAATTTATAAGAAATACTAATACCTTGGTAACTATGTTTATAATTACCGCTCTTTCCCCTCCAATACTAGAGATGTAAATAATATTTCCTTTAGTTATCTCCAAATATTTAACCGATAAATGCGTTAAAAGTATAACAGAATTGAGATTCACGTCAAACACTTGGCTTTGCTTTTGCATGTAACCCGGGTCTGTTATGCCTGTCATATCAAACACACCGGTGCTGTTCACCAGAATGTCTAACCGTCCGAACGAGTCGATAGTCGTAGCTATCAGTCGTCGACAGTCCGACTCCAGGCGCACGTCTGACACCACCCCCAACACCGACTCTGCCGATGATATCGTCGCGCATTCATCGGCTACTGAGTGGACGTCCCGTCCGTCCAGACCACTGACCACTACTCGGGCACCGCTTCGAGCAAACAGTAAGGCTATGGCGGCGCCGATGCCTGAACTCGAGCCCGTGATTAGAGTTACCTTTCCTTCAAAGTTATATTTAGTTGCCATTTGTTAAACGGAGGTAAATATATAAAAGTAGACCTATTTATAAAGTGCAGATTTATGTACAATGATTTTGTAATTATATTTTATATTATACTACAGTCTGTAGTCTACAGATAATATTTCTAGAAAATTCTACAGTATATTGCATTTATTACCAAAACGTAATATACTGTACATTAGTAACTACCACTTCATACTCCCTATCATTGACTACAATTCATAGTTAGAAATAATATTTAAAGTAAATTAATTAATATTTTGTGTTATAAATATTATATGTCATTACAAATGCTTTACTAATATAATAATTTATTTTTTAATAAGAGATATAGAAATGATAGAAATGTCGGAAATAATAGCCGACAATAGGAATGGGAGTCCGGGAGAGACCATACATTCGGTGTGTATTTCGTGGACTAATATCCAAGTGTTGACTAATACACAGAAATCTATTTATAATTGTTTTCAAAATAATAAAACTCCGAAAGAGATCCTAAGGAACGGTATTTGCTATTAATTATATTTAACATACATGTTTAAAATTTTAAAAGTAATTCCATGATTAATAATTAACAGTATCAGGTAAAGTTAAACCTGGAAGTTTGTTGGCTATAATGGGCGCCAGGTTTGCATAAAAATCATTATTAAATCAAACAATTGTTTTGATTTATTATATATTTGTACAAAATATTCAAATAAATGGTCGAAAATTTTTAATTAAGTTATTTCCTAAATATAATGATTTGTTTAGTTGTTTCTACTTATTATTTGAATATTATATACACATATACAGTATAGTTGTACACATTTCTTATTTATTTTTAATTAAAAAATATTTATTAAATGATTGTGTGATTCAGTGGCTCCGGAAAGACAACTCTATTGAATGTATTGACGGCAAGGAATTTACGG